GAAACCATCCCTGCCAGCAGTAAGAAGCCACTCCTCGTTGAAAGATAAAAGCATGCAGACGCCTAACGAAAAGGACAATAACGAAGAAGATAAAAATGATGGTGATAGTGATGAAGAAGATGAAGAGGAGGCGGATGATAATAAAGAAGATGATTGCAAGATCGGTGTATATGATAAACTTCAAAGTCCATAGCAAAGTCCATATCTTATTCATAGCAATCATTATTATTGATAGCAGCTTTGACACATTAGGCACCTTCCAAATAATGAGCTTCAAAGGACTCGTGCAGCTTCAGTTCCTTCGGCGTTTCTTCAACCTGTTAGATAATTCAATTTTAGGAAAATTGCCAAGTGCATGTCATAATATTGAATGAGTCTTATTCTGCATGTAGCGGACTGAAATGCATCATAACCAATCACAATGAAGTTAGTTATTTCGTATTCAGCACAAGCAGTAAAACAACAACAGCAGTTCAAACAACAGTTCAAATTAAAAATTTCTGGAAGGTTTCAAACAGCTAAGTTTATATTTTTTATCAAATTTTTGTTTTTCTTTCTCTAACTATAGTTACATGTATACTTAACTTTCCGATTCAATATTTGAATGATTGGTTCATTAAGAAGCGAAACATCAACAATCTTCATTGAGTTAATTGCAAAATTACATATATACACGCGTACACTAATAATATTGTATCATATTATGCATTTATTTATTTATTTGTAAAACAAATGATAAAAACAAAATAGGAATACTCTTCTGCCACTGATTTGAAAACTGGAGAAGTCCAAACTTCCAAGGGATTCCTGTCTGACCGATTGGGGCTGGGTTTGGTAGGAGTCAATCAATAAATTATTTATTAATTTTATGTATGAAATCTAAATTAATTTAAACAAAAACATAATAGAACTGTCCATAAATCATTCAATAAACTTTTATAATAGTTAGAATTATTTTTTTGTTCAAGACAGTTTAAGTGTGCACATCATACGTCGTACTAAGCAAATGGAAAGACCATGGCCTAACAACCTTCATGAGAGAAAAGAATGATATCATGTTCAGCGATTTCTTCTTCTCTACATAATCATATTCGTGCTGAATGGGTTAACAATTAAAAATATATTAGCTCATCGTACGATTATGTCAACTTATGTAATCTTTTTTTCGAAAAGGCATAAGCCCTACTAAGTCATAGGGTTGTAACAACAGATTTACAAAAGTTGCAGATGCATGATTTTTTATTTATTGAAAAGATGAAACAAATACAATTGAAAAATAATCAACATGCTCAGTATTTGTTTGATAGTATATCATGATGGAGGTAAAATGGTCAGGCACGTAGTCCTGTGCTAAGGTGACCGACTTCGATTTCAATGAAATCCCTGCCATCGTAAGAAATCTAGTACATAATGCGTTGGTTCACGCTAATTCATTTGCGGCTTCTGTGTGTATTGCTATTTCTGAGTAATGCGATAAGATAAAAAGATACTATCTCATCGTTACGTTAGATATTTTGTATGCTGTACAAAATGGATGAGAAAAGTTGTAGCATTTTCGTTGAAATTAAGAAAAAAAACACTTGAAAAAATTACATGAGTGATATTTAAATAAAAATAGTTCTAATAATGTGTTATCCTTTGTAAAGCTTAAATGAAATCAGACAGGCAGCAGCACGTTGCTGAAATCGCGAAGAGAATGTTAATCTATAAAACATGCTACAACACACCATTAAATAAAAACACGTCTCAAATATTAAACACTTTCGAAATAATTTTTCTAACGTAGGAAAACATATCCTCATCGTCGTCGTCATCTCCATCTTCACCTTGGTTCGTTGGAGCATTCTTCGCCATCTCAGACAAACCTTCGTTTGAAGTATTTTTCTTGTACAGTTTTTCTTTGTCGTGACTATCTTCAGCAGTCTTCGCCGCCAGTGTAGATGTTTGAGGCGAATTTTCTGTTGATGTCTGAAATTATCATGAAAGTAGCAAGTGTAATCTGAAATAACAAACGAAGTATTTGCTTCCATTTTTTAAGTAACTGAATGTTTTTAAGTTTGGTAGTTAATTTGAATCCAACTCACTGCAACTTGGTAATTAAGTTCAGCCGTCATAAATTCATTAATAGAATACTTTGATATCATCCTGTTCGGATGCATGGCAACGATAGAATTTACATCACTTATCACAAAGTCGATTACTTCATCATTCAACGTCAGCCACTTTAATTTTATGATGTCAGGTTTGAAGGCAAAACGCTTTGTCAGCATGTACGTCGGTCCTACAATTTAACGTTCAAGTACTTGTAAATATTAGAGGAAAGTTTAGGAATAAATTTGAAATGAAATATTTTTTTACTGGATACGATTGTTTGTTTGTTCAGGATGAATGTTGCGATGTGTCGCGTGTTTCCAGTCCCACTACATAGGACACCAACCGAATAATCCTGTTCCGATTGCGATAAGGACAAGTGAGTTATCGTTTTGCTCAGATCTAAAAGTTTGTGAATTGTTCAACTTTTAACAAATACACACATCTCCCGCAATATGACATAAACTCAGGCAGCACTCGTACAAAGTATAACAACTTTTAAAGTTTGTAAAATCAACAAAATTATGACAAAATCAGTGTCGATGAAACAAATGATTGAAAAGATCATTTCAAGTAATCAGAGTGCATGCAGGTTGTGAGCTGCTTGTAAAAACGGACAAACGGTTAAATTTTACATCTGCCACTAATTGTAAAACTACCAATAGATCACCAAAAAATTAGATTTAGGACATTAATAAAAACATTTAGAAACGAAAAATCTCGTAACCTAGCACGCCGACAATTTCAAAGTGCTTCGTAGCCAGACCAGAAACAACGAACACGTGACCATCTTCGCATGCCAGCACAAAAAATTTACCGTTCTTAAAAAACCTGCAAAGAATGATATCGGAAAGTAGCATCTAGTCGAGCGCAAAATCCAATCGAACGTTGCAAACGTTAATCCATCGCATTAACTGCTCATCTCCACCCAAATGACGATAACTAGTTAATAAAAGATGCAATCTTGCAATAAGGAAGAAAGGACCACCAACTGAATAGACACGATCTTGTTGTAATGAATTCTTCTGATGGAGAGCCACCTGGGCTGCCTCATGTTTATGAAGGAGGCCATCTGCAGAATGCCCTCCTTGTTGCCCACTGCCACCAGGTACAACAACGGGCTGACCGCTGCCGATGTTATCTGGGTAGGTATTACAGAATACTACTACTACTACTACTACTACTACCACTACTACTACTACTACTACTATTACTGACAATAATAATAATAACATCATCAACAACAATGATAATAATAATTAACAATAATGTTTATAATATTCATGGCCAACTTCAAGGCAAACAGTAGTAGCGTTTGTCATTATCAAAATGAACCACTTCACGCGAAAATAATAAAGTCCAAATTTCTTAAAACTTATAAACAATTTAATGACAAAATTTGAGTAGAAATCTGAACTCAATGCGATTATGCGAATAAAATGTGCTCATAAAAAAGCAGCCATCCTAACGGCACGTACAAATAAAAGTGAAACTAGCCATTAGCATGCGATAGATAGAATGAGGATATCTTTGCATTCAAACTCGGTCACTGCAAGGCAGCAATAAGCGTCTTGGGACAGCATGTATACGTATAACAACGTTCTTACTTCGGTTCTTGAAGTTATTTGCAGGAAGGAGAGAGTCTTGCCCTCGTTATTGTAGACGTTTATCGAGCCGGAAGTTCGTACTGTCTGAATGTTGCGTCATTAACTTTGGATCAAAACACCCGACATCACGTCACAAACAATTTAATTATGTGTTATATATCATTCTAGATAATTAAAAATTGACATTTAGTTTATTTTGCGTGCATATATATTTGAATATTAGATTTTAAAAAATTAATAAAATATATATATCTATATCTGGGCTTATGAGCAAATGCGATGCAACGTGTGCAACATTTATATTAATTAGTTAATTATGGTTAATTAATATTATTAATTATAATCAATTACCAAAAACATAGGCAGAACATTTGGTAGTACTCCCACGTGTAGGATTGGTGAATTTTCGTAATAGAAGAGCTCGTACATACGTTTGTAGCTAGATATTTCCAAATAAGATAAGCTACCCTGTCAACGTTTTGCACGAAATAATCTATAAGAAATCCTTCTCTCATGTAGAAACATTTATAAATACCACATTTACAATTAATATATATATATATATATATATATAATTCTAAAAATAAAAATACAAGTTATATTGAGCGTATAAATCATAAAACTTAAGCTCCCCCCCACAAGAAATAAGTAAGATGTCAGAAAGAGTGTCACAACATTATAACATTGGATGCGAATACAACATTTTTTTAAAATAAACACGATCTTGTTATACTGACTGATCTTGTACGTGCATTCGCACTTTTGATAGTTCAAAACACTCAACTAGTATTACAGATTCATCCATTTTGTGAAAATTAACGAGATAATAACACAACGTTTTTTGCAAAAAAAGATAAAAAAACTGACAGATAAATAAAAAAAAGAAATAAGGAAACGTACATTTTTAGTACCAACGAACAATTTTCCATACGCCGGCAGGTACAACAGCATTGATATCTTTTTGCCTAAATTAACACTCCTCACTTTCTTTAAATTCTTCTGCTGCGAGTTTATTTCATAAAAATTAAGTTGGCCGTCATCTCCGCCAGCCACCAGCAGCTTTACGTTGACGACAACGAATGCAGCCAGGTTGGCATAGTTTGGATCAAAATCCGATGTGGCACTGAACTTGTTAGCGTAATCCTGATGTCCATCGGATTGTTGGTAGGTTGAAGATGGCTGCAGTCTGTAAAAACTCACTACGCCGTCTACAAAGTCGTTGGTTATCATTTTTGTAAAATCAAATTGAGTTTATTTGGCCATATACTATTTCAATTTGATATTCGTAAGTTTTTATTGAAATTATTGCTGTAATGGAATTGTTAACATTTTATAACTAAATTTACCGAAGTCTTTTGTAACAGAATATGGCACATAGGAGCCAAGATCAACCTGATAGATTTTTAACGTTTTAATGATACAAGGTGATTCTCCTCAGTTAAACGATACAACATATAAATTATAAAAATACTGTATTATTGTCCAACTCTTTCAATCAACTTCAACTTTAATTTTTAATCCAAAATGGTAACAACGTGACGCTAGAAAAATTTCTATTATCCACACAAAATAAACATGAAAAAAAATTCGTTAACTCGAGTTAAAATAAATATTTATAGACGATTAAGCCTTGAAAAAGCCTTCACTTGGTTCAAAATTACGCGTGCCCCTAACTTGTGGGTTGTCTTAAATTTGTTTACAAATTTTCATCTCTATCATTGACATAACAATATATGTAGATATTACATTGGTGTAACGACCTTGAAAATTTGATTGCCCTGACAGCCAACCCACAACTCGTCACCGAACCAATTGCAACAGACCGGCACCATTTTCTCGTTGTTCTTCAGTTCATCTTCAAATGTCTGAAACTCCTCATCCGACAAGCCAACCACGCACGATCTTGCAAAAGGGAAATGAATGAGAAATAATAGTCATTCTCTGCTAATGAAATACATAATAGCGCTTTAGGGGTACGTTAAATTAGCACTATGCACCCTGCTCAAAACATTTACAACAACAAAAATAATTATAATAAAAATAATAATAATAAAATGCTTTACTTAGGAATATTGAGATAGGACTTGATGAAATCATTTGTCATCAAATTGGAAAGATTCGTAAAATTTTCGCTCGGCTGGTTCTTCTTAGAGGCGCCTTCGATGTGTGGCGGATACACGATGCTGTGTAGTGGTGGTGATGGTGACGATGATGACGTCATTTGTTAAGAAGTTCATGAATGAGATAACGCAAAATCTAAAACATATTTGTAATAAAATAAAATCATCCTTCGCTTTCATGGTTTCTATCATTACCTAAATAAAAAAAACGAGAGCTTTTTTAAATATGTTCGCTTAGATTTAAAAAGGGTCAGCCAAATAAATAACAAAATAAACCTTTTATTGTAATGATCTTCATTAACTTGGTCCAGTGTCCAAACGATGATTTCTTTGTTTGAGCAAAAAGCAAACTGCTTCATGTTGCTCGGGTTAAATGCAAACGTGTTCAATTTGTTGTGAGGGATTTTTGATGAAAACACTTTCTTGTTCTCTGTATACCTCCTACAAATATATCTTAAAATTGTATATGTCAATCTATTTTTTTAAATGATTTCAAAAAATTTTCATTACAATATTATAAAAAAATAACAAGCTGAATGCAAACTACCAGATAGAAAGTTCAAACTCTGGGAGTCCTGTTATCAAGGCCAGGTATGATGAATTTGAAAACTCTATGGCTAAATATTCTAGAGCTTCACTTTCTTGTTATTAAAAACATAAGCTATTTTTAAATATTCTCAAAACCCAGTCAAAATTTTTAACAAAACTTCTATAAAATTTTCAAAGCAGGCAACAACCTTGATGTTCAAACAAAACGTTGAAATCTGGGTATTGGACGAGGAAAACTTTGGGATGAGGTGTGTTCTCCGAATAAGCAAAAACAGAGCTTGTTTTGTGCACTCCAAAGGCACCAATGCCTGAACCCTCGCTTGTGTATATCACCTCCTTGTCATCATCCCCAAAAAACTTCAAATAATTTGAACACTTTATACACAGAATGTTCTCATTTAGTATTCCAACTGGACTTCCATCATAAAAATTTATCCACCTTATATTTTTTAATTTAACTCTTTACTTTACGTTTTCATTCAAAAATATAAAAAAATGAAATTTCATTAAACTCACGAGATTCCTTTATCTCTATCACTTAATATGGAAGTTACTTCTAAATCTATAAAGTAAATGTTCACAAAATTTATTTAAGTAATTTATATACACACTCTACTAAGTGAGATTTTTAGATTTATTAAAATTGAATTTATTATTTAATTAAATTAAAAGTTTATTTAATATAATTGACAAATTAGATTCATTAATTTAGTTTTCTCAATTATTTTCTTTCATTTAAAACAATTATTCTAAATTTTTATTTTAGATATGACACTAACATAACCATGCAAAAATTTTAAACCCATTGCCATTTTAAGTTTGTATGGTTAAAAATTTAATCTTTATTTATTAAATATATTAAAGGAAACATGAAACATGAAGTTAAGTAAAGTTGTAAAGTAAAGTTAAGTAAAATTGATTTACATTACAATTATTTTTATTTTTTATCAACAAATAGTAGATAGCCAGATCAGCCAAATTATTTTAAGCTAAATATTTTAACGCTATTGTAAGTCTATTTTTGTGTGCTTTTTCAAATTTATTATTAAATTGCTATGTCGCACAGTTAATTGGTATACGATGGATATACGATATAATATACTATGTTAAGCCTTGGTTAGTGGGTTGTTAGTCTATTATAAATTATTATATAAATATAAAAAATACCAAAACTAATGAGTTTAATTTAGAAAATTTTATTAAATAAATTTTCAATTGAATTAAATAATAAATTCAATTTTAATAAGTCTCAAAAAAGAAAAAACGACATTCCAACCTCCTGACGACTCGTATCCGAGAGACATTTTTGATTGTCAGTAAAAATTTAAAATCCGTTGCCATAGCTACTGCTTTTGTTGATGCGCAACATTTTGTAGCTATCAATTTTTAGAAAATGTCATATAATTGAGTACAAATAACACTTATAATTATAATACTACGATGCATATAAAAAAAACTATGTTACAAATAGGTGTTAGTTGATCGTTACATTAGCAGACCACATATTTGTCTGTTCAAAAATTAACTACAGCTTTTTTTGTTTTAATCCGTAAATCAAACTCTGCCAGACGCGGAGAAAGTAACGACATGTAAGGTATGAAACGATGAAGTTTCATAAGAAACAACTAACCCATTTTCTATTTCTATTTATTAGCCAGCAATTATTATTTAAATAAATAAATTAAAAAAAACAGATATGTAATTGTTCATTTAAGTTTGTTTTGTGATGAGAGAACATCGGTTTTCGTCGACTTAAATAATTTATTTGCTTGATAAAACAATTGTTAATATATTAATAAAATGTCATTGCAATTCTTAGCTAATGGCAGGTTGTATTGGCTTGAAAACCGGCACGGAAACAGAGGCGTAGGCGGGGGTACATATGTCACCGGGCGCCAAGTACAGGGAGCGCAAAAATAAGGCAGACAACATTCTCACAACAAGATGTATGTAAATTATTTTTGACAGTGACTGAAATATATGCTATAATTTATTGTCGTTGTTTTATCTTTAAATACAATGTTCCGTTAAAATTAGAATTGTTTTTGTAAACAGTAATTTTTACAATGTTAATGTAATAAAAAAATGTGATTAAACATGAAGAGGGGGGCGCCAATTTTATAGTTTGTCCCCGGGCGCTAAATACCCTGTCTACGCCTCTGACGGGAAATTCGATCTTGAGAGCCCCATCGTCATTAGTTTCATATAATATTTTTCAATAATTTTAAATTTTTACATGTCTTTTGTTTTTATGATTATTTCTTGCGTAATAATGAGTACTTGAATTTGTATAAATGTTCACCAACTATATAAAAGCCTGATAATTAGTTGGCCATCCATTGAAAATATCGAGACATCCATAGCTATGCTTAGAGATGAGCGGGAATTGAAATGGCTATCCCATGCTCACATCTAACCACACCCCATCACGTATGCGAGCGCAAGCACCGCATCATACGCGTAAGATGGTCTTTGAGTTTCGGCCAGTATTTCAGCCATGCCATCGCGTAATCGCAACGCGAGACATGACACTTCTAGCGTCTGAGCCAACTTGCTAATCATATATACAAGTTGGTGTGAAATTTAATCGTAAAAATGCTGGATGCTGATGCATTCCAATTGTTATTAGAGATTTTTAAATAATCAAATTTTTCGAATATTATTTTTAGCTTTCATTCTAGAATATATAAATATTCTGTCGAAATGAATCGTATTATTATGATGCATTGAAGAAGGAAAATGCTGAGTTTTTGGAAATTTAACGACCAATGATACTGATAATATTTGAATTTAACGACCAATGATATGATACTGATTAAATAAAATATTGGATGAAGATCGTTGTTTTTACGAAGAAGAAATTTTATGTTGTATATAGTTCTTTTTCACGTGATTTTAATTTTCTCAAGTGCACGTGGCTCGATTTATGCGAATTCATCTGGCTCGTTGTAAGTCATTTTACCGGTGTGATTTTTAAATGTTTTTATAATAATTTAATTCTATCGATTTAATCATAACAATTGCTTAAAAATAGGTCAAAGCAATAATTATGGACTACTCGGAATCGAGTAAGAACTTCGTTAGGGGATTCCTTTTGAAATTCATCGATGAGCAAGATTCACTGCGAGTGCCGATGTTTGTAAAGTACCTGCAAAACATTCACAAAGAACATCCATTTTCAGAAAAAGACATGGAGAATTTTTCATATTATGTGGCATCAACGAATTCTGACATCTCATCTGAGAAAAGTGAATGGCTTGTTAAATTTCGGACAATGACCGGTAAAAAACAGTACGAAATTTGTAAAGCGATGCAGGAACATTACTTCAGTCAAGCTCCAAAAGGAACTCTTAAACTTAATAAACCGTACAATTGGAAAAATTGTAGCGGAATAATTCATCTGGAAGATTCCTTTTATGCATGTTATCCAAACAATAAAATTTTTAAATTACCATTTTTTGATGAAATGTTTTTAAATACAAGTTGCTGTATTTGTTTAGATGACTTTGAGACAGGTGACTTTGTTTGGCAGTTACAGTGTTGTCACAATTTCCATAGTCACTGTGTATACAAGTGGTTGAGAGAGAAAAGAAATCGCTGTCCTCTATGTAGCCAGTTTATAACATTAAACCTGACCTATTCTTACACATTTGTTAAGACAAAGATGAGTGAAAGTGATGTGGAACAGGTAAACATTTTCGTGACGTCAAAACCTAATTACTTACATTCCTGCACAGACCAATGAAAAGGTCAATTACACTCTTCCAAAGTTCAGAGGATTGTCAATGTGGATCCTTTATTTTCTAAATAAAAGATATTCACACAAATTAACTCTCTTCACATTTTTTTCATTTTCTCATTTCTCCAAAAATCAAATTTTACTAAAAAAAAATAAGCGCTCCGTAGCATGCGCCAGTCACAAAAGTTTTCTCCGCACCTTTAACAACGAAAACTATTTGCGATGGAATATTACGCTTCATGCATGAAACATGAACACAATAGCAAATATAATGCGCACACGCACACATACACACGCACGCACACTATGTTGAATGAAAAAAGATGATACGAAACTAAATTTAGAAAAAATTTCAGAGATAGCCTATTCATAAATGTATAAAAACGAATTAGTATGCAAAGAAAAACTACAAAGTAAGAAAGGCAAAAAAAAAACTTTTGCTCAATGATATAAACTCTTAAAAAAATATAAATGCTGTCACTATGTTAATTTGTTGCAATGTGTTTAGTTGTAACACTATGTATATATCTATCATTTGTTGTTGCAATACGGATATTTTTCACCCGAGTAATATGAAGTTGAAATTATTTTTCAACAAACCAACAAAAATCTAACTCATCCACCAACCAACCTACCAATCAACCAGCCAACTAACCAACCAACCGACACACTATCCAAATATCCGAATAACCAACTAACTAACCAACCAATCAACTGAGTGTTTTTAGAAGGTAAAAATGTGTAGTGATATGCAATCATCTTTAAAACTGAAAACAGATGTTAATGACTCGAATAAAATCACATAATTTTCTTTTAGTATGTTTTGAAACATAAATACAAAAGAATTTTACTAAGAAAACCAATTATATTAACTGATTTTAAGTGTTTTTTTAAGAAATTTTCATTGAGTAATAATATTTAAGTATAATTAAATTATTATGCAAAAGTTGAAAATTGTTAATAGAAGTCGGAGCCCGTAGTCGAAAACTTTTACTCGGAGTCAGAGATGGATATTTTTCAAACAGTGCCAAGTAATTTAATTGTTGCCTGTCTGTTGGCACACATTTTTTCTATTTCTCTATTGCGATGAATAAATCCTGCATGTAGAACATTGTAAAAACGTGGATGGTGTGGAGTGAATTAAAAAAGCGATTTAGAATCTTCTAATTTGATTTTTGACCAAAGCATTGTGTGGTTTGGCTTGTGGTTATTGGTGATCGGCGAAATTATAAACGATACATTATTTTAAATTACTCATTTTTAAAAAGTAATTATATTAAAAATATAAAATAATGAGTTTCTCATAATTCAACGTTAATTACCGGTGACGCGAATCGCATGAATGTAGTAATTTGATCTTATTGCAGTGAATAATAAAATTATCAATTAATTTCGTAATTGAAAAAAAAGATGAGTTAAAAATGGGTGGCGTGATGACCTGTTAAAGTCGCGTGGTGCTGCTGAATCCTCTGGAAGAGTGTAATTGACCTTTCCAATTACTGTACTTAAATCTTCATTTTAATAAATAATACAATATTTAAATTTGAAAATATTGAAATGAACAAAAATGAACATAATAAACTTACTTTTAAGTTTTAACCGGGAATCAGTGAAACCTATATCCTTGGTTGATTTATTAGCTCAGCTTTTAATACAAGTCATAATTTTTAATTTATCTATTTTTAACTGCCAAAATTAATTTTTTTTGCTTAAAATTCGTTCGTTTAAAACAATAAATGGTTGTTATTCACATCTTTTGAGTTATCACGTGGCGAGAATTTTTTGATCGATTTCGAAAAAACGAAGATACTATGTGCACCCAATGTAGTGACAGGAAAATTTCACTATGTCCCATACAAAATATATACTATATATAGTCCAACTAACTACAAACTTTAAAGAAATCGAAATGCTTGGTTTTATCAATTGGTTATTATGTAAATTACTTCAATCAGATTTAAAATTTTATTCTTGAAACATTTTAGCAAATATTCTTCTTCAATGATGCAGTCGAATTTTTCGCTGTTAGCCATCAACCGCTGAATATTTTTTGGCTAGGTGAACTAGTCGCAAAACGTTAAATTGAGACTTATAAAATGCTCAATTGTGACAAAATAGATTTTTTCAATAAATTTTTACTGTATTTTTTAACAAATAAAAAAAATTTGGTTACATAGAATACAAAACACTAGATACTTCAAAAATTGATAGCATTTGAATCAATGTTTTCTATTACAGCTCTAATCGGCACTGGCAAAAGTTCTTCATTAACATTAAACAATGTAGAGAAAATTTTATTACCTTGATAATTTTAATCATGTCAATCACTGTACTGCATTCAATAATAAGTGATTATTTGTATTGAGACAATTGATGATATAAAATTTACTATTCAATGTTTTTCATAATTTTATGTTGTTGATGATGATGAAGATGACAATGAAGATGATGACGATGAAGATGATTGTTGTGATTATGATGAAGAAAAAGATGATAGTGATGATTTTGAATATATGTAACAATTCTTGAAATCTGCTCTATTGATTTTGAAAAATACTGAAAATTATTTTCTGTGTTTAAAATTAATTTAAAAAGTTATTCCAAATGTTAATCAGCTGCGCGGGTGCGTCATAAATAAAATTAAACAAATATTTTGAGTGCCAGCCGTTAGCCGAAGATAATCCGCTGTTTTATTCGTTTATTTGCCGCTGCCCAATAAAATTCGACCAGTCGAATTTTCAGTCGAAACTTCTGAAATTATTCGGCTGACATGTCTATATGATGACTCGATTACGCTGTTAAACAATTTAGAGTGTTATAATATAAGTGTACCTGTGTATGTATATAATAATCTGTTGACAAATTAGAAATAAGTTAAAAGTTGTAATCAATATATAAAAATGTTGCTATTTAATATTTAAAAATTTTACCAGTGAGTAGTTTTTTGTATGAATGGTATGAATTCTAAGTATATGTATAAATAAAATATTACACAAACAATAGGTACGCACGTTCAATTCAATGCATTGCATACCCATGCATATAAATGCAATTCTAATGCATTGCATAACTAGGCATATAAATATACATACTTGTATGTAATCAAGCACGTATACTGTATCTTTGTATATGTGATGATTTTTTTAAACAAGTTAAAAAAATGGAAAATTTTTATCACGAATTTTTATTCACTGTTGAGTGGGAATACTTTCGTTTTATTCACGAGATATTTCTGCATCCTACGCTCAATTGTAATAATTAATTCATGACGTCAGAACGGAAGTTATTTTTCCAGCCTCTCCATCCAAATAGAAAAATTTGCGTAGACCATAGATGGCCGTTTGAATGATAGCTGATCGGTCTCTCTTGAAGTTTAACTATACGTTTACTCAAAATTTCAATATAATAGTTAAAAATACACTTTTTATTTGTTCCGCCATTTCAGCTGTCTTCAAAAGATGACTAAAGATCGTTTGGCAGCTCTCAAAGCGGTTAGTCCACTGTGGTGTCTAGGAAGCATTTTTATTATTTTTTTCAATAAATATTTTATTTTACATGCTTCACTGTGTGATTGGATTGAAGTGGAGTATCTTTCTTGAAAAATAATTTGTTCTGAATGATAATAAATGCCTTTTTTAGGATTTATTATTTATTTCAATTTTATGATGTCTGACTTCTTAGTCTGATTGATTCTGGTATCAGGTGTAGTGTTATGGTGTGGTTATAGAAATTATAATCGTGATCACTGCTGACTGCGTGACATGATTTTCATGATCATCTTGTAAAAAAAATATTAGCTGCGGCTTGTTTTTTGTATTGATCATTAAATTATTTATTATTATATAAAAAAATGTTGACTTTTTCTGTTTTTCAGATCATATATTTTTCAATTTTAAACTTATTTTAATTTTATATACATACATATATATTAATTAATTAATTAATTAATTAATTAATTAATACACACAAAGGCTCAAAGTGATGATGATGATGAGCCAGGTGAACACATGCCAATGACATTAAATGTTGATGAGAACAAGTTTATGGAGGAGTTCTTTGAACAGGTTCCTTTTTCATTGCTTGTTCTCTATTGTTAATTTAAATCTAATGTTCTATAGTATATAATTGGTTTTTCAGATTTTCTTGGGTAGATATTTTGAAATAAGTATTCCTTTATAGTTATTTTGATCCATTAAATATAAATTTGTTAAATTATTAAATTAACTAAGATAGATATATTAGACATATTAGTTGAGCTATTGGTGAATTCAGTTGATTTATAATTTAAAAAATGTTAAATTCAAAATGTGTAGGTGAATGAGATAAGGGAGATGATAGATAAAATAGCAATCGATGTCGATGAAGTGAAGAAGAACCACAGTGCGATTTTGTCTGCCCCTCAAACAGATGACAGTTAGATCATTTGTCTTCATCAGCTATTTTCGTATCTCATCTTTTAATGTCTTGCTAATGTCATACAATAACTTTATAATGTCTTATTTTTTGAAAATGATTTCTACTGTTACGCTTCCAATAAATGTAATTCTTTTTTAGAAATATTCAACATTTTTATGCTACTTAATGTTTAATTTTAATTAAGAAACGAAAGATAAGTTAGAAGATTTGATGGCTGAAATAAAGAAAACAGCTAATAAAGTCAGAGGAAAATTAAAGGGTTGGTTGGTTATTTGTTGTTCTGGGTGATTGTTGAGTCTTATCACAAGATGTGAAGTGAAAATAATGTAAATTAAGATTTCTAACATTTTTTAATGATAAACTACACAACTAATGTTACCCAGGTATTTTTTGGTGGATTTTAAAAATATTAAACACACATTTTCATCAATAACATATTTAAATTTAAAATAAATATCATAATAGTTTTGGAACAAAAGATCGAACAAGAAGAGGAGACTAACAAATCATCTGCTGATCTACGAATTCGTAAAACACAGGTCTTTGTTTATATCTTTCTTTTAAATTAAAGGTGCTGTTATAAAAGTTTACTGCTGGCTATGTAATATGGTATGTACCGTAACAATTAATGGCTATGTCAGTTTGACTGCTTTTGGTGCATATTAATCTCTCGTTTCTTGATATCTGTAGACAGTTATAACTCTGTTGAATAATGATATGTGTATGCGATTATGACTTTTTGTTAAATAATTGTAAAAGTTGTATTTGGGTAGACGTATATGAAAGACTCACAATCATTATAACATTTTGAAAAAACCTACTACCACCATGCTGACAGCACTCGACGATATTAAGGAAGTTCATAGAGGTGATGAACCAATACAATGCAGCACAAGTCGATTACAGGGACGGTTGCAAGAAGAGACTGCAGAGGCAGATGGAGATCAGTCAGTAACTCCCATCTCATTTTGCATGATTGAACACACACATATATATATATATATTATTAATCTCCCACCATTTTTTCTATTGTCTTTATAAGTCATATGTATAATTATAATTATCTAGTGTATAGGCAGACATGTTGTTATTGTACATGTCACTCTAATCTAACCCAAGTCCTAAGCCAATGCTGGTTATTAGTTATTCATAAATTAATATAATATGAATTGAATGAATGACAGTTGGAATCGATAACATTCTTATTACCATTGTCTTTGCTGTTACTTGTGATTTTATTACTTTAATTTAACTTTTTTGGAGTTTTTGTTAAGTTCATTCTGAAAGTGAAATTTTTTCAAATTTTTTCTTATGTTTGTTTTATTAGGTTATTTATTTATTTATTTAGTTTTTATTGATTAATTTAAATTTAATTCATTTTCAGTTATGTTTTTAATTTCTTAAAAGAATGGCAGAAAGAAGTCAGTTTTTATAAGTTCTTCTTTTTTATTTAATTTTTTTATGAATCAAATTTTAATTTTAATTCAAATGTTTTTTTGTTGTTGTCGTAGAAAACTTGAAAAGAGGTTTACAAATATTTGTTTCAAATTATTCCACAATTTCTCAGTTCATCTTTTATATTATTTTTGCAAAATTTCAGAGATCTGTGTAACTCAATTCCCAATTAAAATATAGAACTAAATAAGGTCCCTTGTATCAATCTTTTAATAAATTAATTTAAAACCTTCCAATCATTGATTAATCATTATTTAGCTGGAAGGGCAACAACGAATGAAGAACTTGAGGACATGTTGGAGTCTGGAAATCCTGCTATATTCACTCAGGGGGTCTGTATTTTTTTTAAATGACGAGAGTTTAAATTAAAAATAATTAGTTTGTAGTTGGTATTCTTATGAGTAGTTGTTTCAGTTGATAGAAATATACCTAAGAACAACATACAATCACATGCAGATAATAACAGACACACAACAAGCCAAACAATCCCTGATGGATATCGAAGCTCGTCACAACGACATCATGAAGTTGGAGCAGTCGATCAAGGAACTACATGACATGTTCATGGACATGGCTATGCTGGTTGAGAGCCAGGTTTGTTTCTTTGTTTCTTTTCTCTCTCTTTTTGCTATTGGAATGTTGGTTAATGAAGTAAAGCAGTCATAGTCTATTGTTACCTCTGTATATTTTTTGATTTCATTTTGGTGCAACGTTTGTACAACTTTTGAAAAGAAAATTAAAATGATCTGTTTGATCTGTTTGATTTTCCAGGGCGAGATGATTGACAGAATTGAACACAACGTGGAAAAGGCTGTTGATTATGTGGAAACTGCTGCGGCTGATACAAAGAAGGCAATGAAATATCAAAGTGCTGCTAGGAAGGTTTGTTTGTCCGTTTGTTAATTGTAAGTTTGGAGGGTTTAATTGCAGGCCTCTCTTGTCATTTGATATGACACATTAATGCATTCTGTAGTGTATGAAAGTAGTAAATATCAGTCATTAATTACCCACGCTTTCATTTTATCATTAAGTTTGTGGAAAATTTTATAAGATAGAACTAACCTTTTCTCACAAAATTACCACTACTCTTAATGTTAATTAATAACATCAGAAACTATTAATGAGAGTTTGTGCGAATTGCTTTGGAAATTTTTTTTTCTTCGTAAAAAGGGTAAATAATGTCTAAATCTGTCTTATTTAAAAATTGATGCCTTTATTTCCCCCTTTCTCTGCTTTCTTGATTTATTTATAGGCAGGTAAATGCTAGAAAACATCATTAACAAACCTGGTTCATTGTTTTTGTGCCTTTAAAATATGTTTTGTTGATGATAATGCTATTATACCTGCACTTGCGAAATAATCATGATATCTAAAATTCTAAAAAATCCTATAATTCAGACTATATTGATATTATCAATCAATTTATACTTTGTTTATTATGACTTCTTTCAGCATAATTGAATTATTCCAAGTGCACAAATGATCATTTATTTCAATACTCTTTCTAAGATAATATCTCTTGCTGTTTCTGCTGCCTTTGTACTTTTTTAAGATTTTTTATACAATTTTTCATTTCATTTTATTGAAACATGATATTTTGAACTTGGATTTTATTATATTTCTTATTGAATGAAATAATTATATTGAGGAAGTCAATTCAAGGTAGAAAAAATAACATTAATAAATGCAAATATTTATAAACATTGCAAAAATTGGCATTTTCAGATAATTCAGATTTATTAAAATTATAGAAAGAAAAATCAACGATACTTAAAATGATCTGTATTTATCACTTTTTAAAATGTTCTCCCTATGTTATTAACAAACGTTGCTGTACCGTGGCTGCACAAATGTCTGCTTGTTCATTTTATGTTTATCTGCAATGGAATTCAGCCATGTAACTAATAGAATACAGACAAATACAACGTTAGACCTTAATAAATAACTTTCAGATTCGAAGAAAGTTTATTTTTCATTTATCTTTGTTGTTTACTATCAAATGTATACCCGACAAATGTGTATCTGTATTTGTTCCTTGCTCAATTGCACCACATGACACAGTTGAAATATTTAAGATATTTTTTGAGTTTGGCTGAGGTAGCCAACAAACCAGATGAATACACACTATGAACTGTGTGAGGCATAGCCTATATTTATATTTATCTATATTTATATTTATATTTACTTATAAATTTATTAACATAAATTTATCCTATCATTCACTTTTTTAATTTACGAAATTATTAAAATTTTTCTTACCAGAAAAAGATAATAATAATGATATGCCTGTCGATTATTATCATCATCATCGTCAGTTCAGTGGCCGGCGTGTTCACATCAAATTGATCAACCAATCAGAACACTTCAAAACGTGTCAAATGACCCACTTGATTTCTATAGTAAGCACAACGAACACGTGGATTTTGTTAATTATTTTTCTAAGGTAATTTAAAAAGGTAGCGACTTCAACTTCAACCAATCAGTTAAAAATAAATAATTATACTAACGATTCATTTTTCCATCTCGTGGTGAACCAGATAGGTTGGAACTGTTTTTGCATGTTTATGTTATTTAATGTACATTAATATTTAAAATTTATTACTTCATTGCATAAATTCATCTAATACTAATTGTGTAACATTGCTGATGACTAACAATATTTCATGTTTTGTTTTTTAACGTTTTTCTTGACACACATTATTTTTGTTTAATCTAAAAATTTTTGTTTGTTTATTCTAATCATTTATTTTGTGACAAATTTTCTTTGATGGCGTTTAATTAGGTAGACATATTTCTTAATTTTTGTTACATGCTCGTTCATTTGCATATAACTTTATAAAGTTATTTTATGGTGCCAATTGTTCATTGATCATGGTGTTCCTGGATGATGGGTTGCATCAAGGTTTTCAATGTTCTTTGACAGGTTATGGATGCTTAGCCTGTTTTTAATTAATTTATTTAATTGATTAATAATCAAAATGTCATTGGTGATATGATTTTTACTGAAAATTAATTAACTAACCAATTAATTAATCAATCAATCAACATTTAGTTGGCTTGTGCAATTTATTTAAAAATTTCATTCACTTATTTGAACATGAGCAATCACCATTAACTTGCTGTCGTTAACGTACTTTTAGGTAACCAACCGCCACCGTCATATATTTTATAATTGTACATCCAGTTGTAATCTTTCTTCATCTTTGGTTTTTATTGTTTTCTATTTTGTGCATTTCAATTTAATTTTTGCATTTTATATTTGTTCATATAGATCAGGCGTGGTGTGATCAATCCACAATATTTTTTCAACGAAATTTTATTGTACGTTTCTGGGTGTTATTTTAAAAAAATTCAGAGATTATGTCAAAAAATATATTTAAAATTGTTATTATCATTTCTAATGATTAGAATTTAGGAAGAATAACTGACAATTTTTTATTATACGGGAGTTTAGATGGAAAAAAAAATCTGTGTGCCTGTGTGTGTATGAGTGTTGTGTGTGCACGTAATGAAAATTTACTTATATTGTTTGATAATTACATTTGAATATGATGTAACTTCTCACATTTTCTAGCATTCTTAGTGTCGTACTTGTAGAATTGACTGATCTATCATTAACATTCTTATATTCTTATTTTGATTGTGAAAGCAGTTATATCATTTTTATTAATACTTATAATATTATTAGTATTTTTTTAATCTTTATTTTCTGCGTCTACATCACCTTGAAATTATTCTCAGTTACCACTACTTCTAATTGCTCATGGTAATACCATACCACCAGTGTAAGTTATCTTATAGATTTTACTTTTCATATGTACCTGACATCAGAATTTTATAGAGAAGGTAAATTTTAAATGAACATCTCTCATTAGCTCATTGTGTAACTGTCCCACAATACAGTTTAAGTTGAAGTGCACACACATGCACGGTCATATATAACCTTCTTCAGCTTAGGAATTCTGCGCACAGAAATTTTGGAACGCCTCTAATGCTACACATTATTCGTGTGGTGACATTAATTGAACTTTAGTTTGAAATTATATTTTAATGCGGCAGTCTCACGTTCCCAGTCAGAACTCTCTGATGACTTGAGCCAAAAAATACATTTCCATGTTGATTGACATCTGAATATGTGGTTTATACTGCGTGGTAGCTTAATTTTAAATTGAATACAATTTCATTTGATTTTCAATTTATTTATTAGGCTGTTAGTATGTAACATTTTCGTTTAGATACTTTGAAACAGTCGTTAACTGTCTAATCAACCAGTTTATTAAATTACCTTTAATGCATTTATTCTTTTATCAGTTAATATTATTATTATTATAATTTAAACTATGTTATATTTATTAATTATTTCTCATTGATTTTGATTTATTTGATGAGTAATAAAAGATATGTTGCCATTATCATTATTATTATTATTATTATGATTATTCATTTCGATGTTTTTATCATTTTATACAAGATGTACACCAAGATAACTTGTAAGCCGCTATATTCTAGGTTTTATCTGAATGCAAGATTATTTTAAATACAATAAAGCTCCTTCACAGTGCAGTCCCCGTGAGTTTTAGCATGATCAAACTATTGTCTCTGACGTCGTTTACATTGAAGTATATTAGTAGTGTTTTTCATGCGGTCATTATTTCAGGAAACTAAATGAAAATGTGCGTTTGAGGCGTTTTGCAAAAGGCGTTGCTTCGTTTTTAGCAGTTGTGTGCAGTTTAAACGCGAAGACTTTGTATGTCAACTAGTCTAATCTGTTTTTAATACGCTTGTAATTAGTTACGTGAACTGATACGAAGGTACCCACCCACAGCTCTTACTATCCTTTTCTTGACTTTAACTTTTCCTGGCTTGTGTGAGCAGAGCACTGGCTGGCACGGTGATACAGATTGGTCAAGGATTAATGTTAATCAATGATTGTTAATCAATTCAGAATTACATTATTCTGCGAGTTAGCAACTACATTTATCCTGTTTATTGACATATGGATGCGCTAACCCAGAAGGGTTTTTACATATATATATATATATATTACATATATATACATAAAAATATACGTTGGAAGGAGGCCATATTTTATACAGTATTGTATGAATTCTACCGAATTAATGATTAAAATGATTGATGCCAACAATTCGGTAGAATTCATACAATACTGTATATAAACATATATATATATATATATATATATATATATATATATATATATATATATATATATATATATATATATATATATATATATATATACAC